CAGAGAGCATCTCTTTATCTGGTTTTCTGCTCCAGTGAGTGATAGGTATTTGTTCCAAGGTTTTTGGTGTCATTTCATTACTAGGTCTTTGGCTTGATTATCTCAAATTTTGATTTTAGTTGGGGGATTTTTTTTTTTTTTTTTTTTTGCTAACAATTGATATCTTGCAAAGCTTTTTTATAAGTTATAACAGAAATAGAATGTCAAACAGGAATTTATTTCTTCTGTAGTCCATCTTTCATATAACAGGGAGGTCCAGGACTGCTGTAGTGCTAATCTCCAAAAATACAGTCAAGAAAGTAAACATAATATTGTACTGTAAACAGGAGTTCCATATATTCAATATTATGGAAAGTGGTTTTGGTATGTTTGTTAGTTGATTTTTTTTGTTCTTCTTGATTCTAGCTGGTTTTCATTATATGCTTGAACCAAAGCATTTGAACATTTTTCCTTCCCTCTAGATTATGAGTTACCTTGGCACTCTTAATCATGTTGTAGAATCTACATATATGATTTTTCTAAATTATTTTCCCATTGACTTTTGGCAATTTTTGTAATGGGGAAATTAAGGTTCAGCAGGGGTTGTTTTGGGGAGTAGAAAATCTCAGTCACATAGAAAATTTTCAAACATGGTATATATTCTATATTCAGCATGCTCTTTCCTTTAGCAAGTCATAATCAAAATACCCTTATTTGGGCAGCTTTATTTCCTAATTTCTGGTTTGAGAGGACATGAAAATGTTGACCATTATCCTCAGCATAAAAGCATAAATTAATATAAGGATTAATTGTTCAGGCCTTTTTGAAAGAAACTAGTTCACAGCTCTTACAGAAAGTAGGACATACTAACTAGGCTTACAGTCTCATGGCTTAGCCACAAAAGATGACTAAAAATACTTTATTTCCTATGCCTTTTTGCTATTTTACTATAACTAAGTTGAAAAATGGTCCTTTAGAAAGAGAATGATTTTATTTTGCCTCATATTTTCATATTAACTTTGTTCTGCCACTTACCCATGCCTCTGAATAGGCCAGTAAAGCAAGATTTGCTGGAAAGTTCTCTGGACTTCTTGGTCTCTGTGAGTTTCTTGCTACTCTTGAACAGCTAGATCCTACTTTGTTCAGTGTTGGGATATTTAATCTGTTCTTCTGGTTCAATTCTTGCTGACATTTTCTTGCAAGAGTCTTTCAGAAAAACAGTTCAATGTGCATGCTCCTTGTAGAAAACTAACGAACAAATATAGGTGACTATCTCAGAAGAATGCTATTATTTCTAAGGAGAATTATATTATCCATCTTTTGAAAGTAAGAGAATGAAAAAGAAAAGTTATTTTGGCTCTCCTTTATTTCCAAAAATCTTTTTTCTCACTGTCTCCCTATTGGAGGATGACTACAGCCTGTGCATGGTTTTGACCAGAAAGAATGTTCTAGACATGTAACTGTAGGTGACCTATATGAATTTTATAAATCTTTCACAGCCCTATTTTATATAATTTTGTTCTCTAGTTTTCATATATTCTATATATTTAACTTTATGGAGTATTTAGAGATAAATAGTAAACTGATTTTGTCTGGAATATGAGAAGCTAAAAGGATATTCATCTTGTAAATTCTACTGTCATTAGTTTCTGTGTCACCTAGCAAACAGATATACCTTGTCTAATATATGCTAGGGAAAGGTAGATGTACAGCCAGTATTCCTTTTTATTCTTATTCTCTTCTGTATTTTTTCCCCTTGCCTTTCATTTGTTTATAGTATCCTTGATTAATATTGTGAATGTTTCTGGAAATAAAGTAGCATTGTCTATTCTTAATTTTTAAAACTGAAGATCTGAACTGTATAAATTCATCTTATTTTGACAGTCTTTGAGCTGCTAAATCACTTAAACAGAAGATGGTTACTAAGATCTACTCATTGAGAAGAGAGTCTTCAAGTTGCAATTGTATATCATTGTTTATTTTGTACCTTTGTTTAGTGCTTCAGTTTTCTGGAAGAAGTCCCAGAATGTCCAGTGTGTTGTCAGACTGTGTTTATTTTAGAAAGAGTTCTGATGTTTTTTACATGGAAACCTAAAAGAATGAGGGAGGCAGTGATTTCTTTTGCTAAAATTGATGGAGATTTGCATGGCTGGTTTTCTTTATTTATTTTTAGTTTTGTTTTATCCATAACATTTACACTTGAATGGTCTTTTCCTTTTCTTGTTCTAATTCTTAATGATGAAATATTGAAAATTTATCTAAAAATACACTGACAATCTAGGGTTTCCTACAACCAGAAAAGAGGCTGAATTGGTTTATAACTTCAAATTTGCAGTGTGCTAATTTAGATTTGACTCATTCTTTTGGTGCTCAGATCTCTTTTGACTTTTATGTAATACTTGGAAATCAAAAAATGTGTTGCACTGTTGTGTTTTTTCAAGAATTCAGAAAAGGTAACATCATAGAGAGGAAATAAGTTTATATCTGTAACTACATCTAGTTTGTTGCACTCAACAAATGGAGCTTGACTGGAAAAATAATTTCAAAAAATAGAGCATTATGTTTCATAAATTATATATTCTTTATCTTTCTCTTGAAATATTTTCATATTATAGTAATTGTAATTATACAAGTTAGGGCAATTTTTTTGATTGATTCCCATACGCTAAATCTGTTGTAATCTGAGTATGGGTAAATCCCTGGCAACCAGATAATCTTTGAAAGGTTAAAACATCTCCTTCATAATTTATACTTCAAGGTAAAGGCCCATTTTTGTAGATGATTTCATATAGTCAGTCTAGAGAATCTAATTATCAAAAACAAGTTTTGACTTGTTTCCTCTTACCGAAACCAATAAGGTGCTTAAAATAGAGACAAATACTGACTTACTCTGTGTCTGTGTAATCACAATCATATTCTTGTTAATAGTATAAATGCCTCTCTTTTCCCAGTGCTTATGCAAATGCTTGCCTCCATGGATGAAGGATTAATTCTCCTGCACTTTGTGCTTAGTGTGTCTGCAGAGAATATGAGTAACTTTGTACTTTTGGCTTCTGTTCTGTTGTACACCTAATGCTGTGAAAAATCATGTAGCAACAAGTAAAAGTTTGGTTTCTTTTTACTGAGTAAATTTTGTTATCTCTTCAGTTGAGAAGCAACTCAATGCCAATAATACTTCTGTAGTTAATATTTCTCTTTAAATATCCTCTGCTTCAAACTCTCCACATGTACAACTCACATTGACTTCAGGGACTGTCCTATAAATTCAGATGTTGTGAATTTTGGACATTCGATGAGTGGAATATGGAACATATATGTCTTGTTATTTAAGTGAAATGATGAAAATGGTAGAGCAAAGTTTGAAACTAACCCTCTTGTTTCCTTTTTCTTCTGTTCTGAGTATTGCCACTTTGTTGTCTCTAGAGGGGATAAATATTAAAATTTTCTGTTATGTTTTCCAATTTTAATTCCAGCCTTGAAGCTACTGATTTTCAGCTATATATCTCCTGAAAATAATGTTGGGTTTTTTTCTGGTTGTCATGCATGTTACTGTTTCACTCTCGAGCAGGGATTTCCTGTTACTGTAATGTGAAGAATTTCAGTGAGGGAAGTCTTCAGAAGCAGGGAAATACCACAAGGCCTACTCTAGGGTCAGCTTTGAATGCTTGATATTATAATGCCTACAATTTTTCTATATTGTTACAACAAAGTGATTCCAATAATAAAATGGCAACAAGATTCCCAGTCCTGTAACGAAGAGGATAAATGAGTAGGAAGTGACATTCAGAAGACTTGCATATTCAGTGGGAAGCTGAACAAAACTAGTCCAAAAGAAACACTAGATCCAGAGATGAACTCTTGCCCATCTTGGGCAGCTGGGTACTTGATGCAGCTACTTTAGGTTCCCTGGCACAGAATTTAAGTTCATCATCTGAGGATAATAACCAAAATAAACATTTAAAATTATAAAAGAATGCTTTACAGGGCATATGCTTATCATCGTTGCCCACCATTTGCCTATTCAATAATTCAAATAGCATTTGTCAGGAACAAGGAAGCCATTAATCTGAACCCAGTTGATGGAGTTTGAATTTGCACTTGCAGTTCCCCTGAAATATACCTTAGTAAATAGGTTAAAAGTCTAGTTTGGGCTTAGAAATCCTCTTCCCTTTGTCTTGAGAATGAACTTCAATGCATCCTGAAATACAAGACCTGGAAAGATGTTGACAGCATGTAAGTGGAAGTCTGACTCTATCTGTAGAGATGTGGCATCTGGCCCAAAACGTGGTATATTATGCCTGTGTAGTTTTCTGGTCTGATAATTTGGTTTTGATAAATAAAGAGGGTGCTTCTCTATCAGGTTGTCATATGAAGACTGAATTACTGAACTGCTTCTCCCTAATGAAGATTTGGTCAGTTGTTTGTAAAGAATGGAAGAGAATAAAATGCTAATTACATTTCATTCCTCAGAAGAACAGTAGGTCTTTGAGAAGTGTATAAATATCTGCACTAAAAGATAGTTTACCTTACTTGGTGATTGGAGCAGGTCATTTATGCATGAAAGCTATGGTATCTGCTGACTATTGTAATAGAAAAAGAAGTAGATTTTTCTTTTGCACAAATAATCATATATAGTAACAAATCCTATGCCCAAAATCTCTTAAAGTCTAGTCTTCTGAGAGAGCAGGTTTTAAGTATTTTCAATTATGAGATAGCAGAAGAACAAAAGGTTACAAATTAAACAAGAAAAAGAAAAGATTACTTCTAAGATGCTTTTAGTCTTAGAACTATTCCTTAGCATGTGCCATTATGTTCAGATATGCAGTTGTAGAATCTTCAGTATCAAATCTAGGTTTCATTAATCAGAACAAAAATACATTTCAAGTGCATGGACCTTGAAGAAAAATAGCCTATTAATATCAGACAGCTTGGTACATTTCATATTGTATTTAACATGCCACTTTGCAAAGTTGTCTGATTGTTTGTAATTTTTTTTTCTCTCTTAAAAATGTTATTTCCAGGTTGGATGAGTTAATTGAAACATTTCTCAAAGATAATGATCCTGATAGCTCTCTGGATGTTGGTGCTGACATGCGGAAGATCAAGTATTCCTTTGTTCATATGAAGGTATTTTTTTAAAAAAGAGATGAAAGTGCGGCTGGCATTCTGAAAATAACTTGGAAATATTCATGATTGAAAAGTGCTAAAAGAAATTCAGTGCAGTTGAGAGGTATGGGAAAAGGGTAAGGCATCTGAACTTTAAATAGTGTGGAGGGCTCATAGAAAACTTAAATTTAGCTGGGAAAATTCAGCAGCATTTTGTGAAAACATCAGCAAGGATCTCAGCATGCAGTGAATTGTAAGAGCACTGGAAGTTACTGGAACCAAGACAAGTTGGTTTTATTTATATGGAGAGATGTTCTCATCTGTATTTCCAGCATTACTGAGGGTTTATTTTGGACAAACTATGTTGAAAGAGGTAAAAATGTAGGTTAAAAAAGCTATATCCCTTTATCTATCACTTTAATTCCTCTGATAGTGTTGCAAGACCTTCTGAATCATTGAGAAAACAAGAAGCATTTGACAATTCTGAAATTATAGAAGATAATACTTTTCTGTATTTTGCAATATAGTTTTTCTAATATAATAGTGTATACATTCCTGATTTTAATTTATTGTCCTTAAATAATTGGTTTTTAATTATATTTTTAATACTGAAATTTCTGTGATACTAGAGAACACTGGAGTTTATATGTAGAAAAAGTAAAATAAATTGCACCCTTGCTAATAAAGATTAAAAAATACAATTTGTTTCATTCTTGATACAATGGATATAATTTGACAGTCAACTATGGCATGATTCTTGGCATTTTCTGCCAAGAGTATAGAAAGGTTTTACTTGTCTTACTAGAGCTAGACTCTCAGAATAGAATACAGAGCTAGAGGGAAAGTTAAAGGGGTGTGCTTTTTTTGTTTCTCTTTATAGCAAATTATAAATCATCCAATGACTTCAGGTAATAAACTGCTCTCACAAGACATCTCTGAAGAAAAAAACAATAGCGAAGAACTGGAAAAACTGAAAGGACTTCTGCAACAAAGAGACAATGAAATCAGTATCCTTTGTGGGGGAAAAAGTATTATTTGAGTTTGACATGATCTTACTTACAGCCCTGTTTCTTTGTGTGAGAGAGGCTGTACTGTGCTAAAGGAAATACTCAATTCCCAACTTTTATGTGACAGGACTTCTGCTTTGCGCCTGCTTCTCTTTCTGTTTTTACCAAAATCAAAATCCTACATCCAAGCACTACTTAGCTTTAGAATGGCCCAGCCAATAACCAAATATTGTGATCAGTCCACACCTAAAACATTCTCCACAAGCAAATTAAATTACGTTTCAGAGGGGGAAACTCTGATGCTATAGAAGGACCAATCTATTACCTTACAAAGAATTGAATTTCCTGTATGTGTTATTTTTAGCCAAATGAAGTGTTGCTTTGGGGACTACTGGGCAATTTGCCTTTAGAACAAATATAAAACCTGTACTTTTTACATTTAAATTTAAATCTTTTTGCACATAAAAGTGCTAAGCTGCTCAGGCGTGTTTTGTCCATTTCTCTGCCTCATAGGAAACACGAGTAGCTGCACTGCAGCACGATGGGTGGGAGGTATTTTTAGCAGGTTGGCAGACCTGTGGGCAAACCACAGCCACTGCAGCCCCAGCTTTTGGCTACTCAAGTTTGCAATATGGCAGAGAAATTAAAATATGGGGTTGTTTAATGTAAAGGTAACAGGGGGTTTTCTCACAGTTATTAGTAAAGAGCAAAGCCAGTTGCATTCTTTGTGCTCAACAATTCCAGCTCAGTTTTATATGTCAAATGAGAATGGCATTTTTAACTGGGATGTAGCATGTTACCTATCTGAACTGAGGTGGCAGGAAAGCTTCCCCATTTCTGCTCTTTCACAATTATAAGATTGTGTAAAAACACAATGCAGTTTCAAATAAATTTACCTAAAACACTAACTCATTTCTTTCAAAAAAATCTTCAATTTTTTTTAATGTATATTTAATATCTGAATTCCCAGAAACATTTCCTCCTGAAATGAATTACTTCATTAGTATGAGAAAAAAACCAAAATATCTCTATCAAATGCACTTGTGCTCAACAGATTTATACAGCTTTGTTCACAGAAGTAAAAGGAGGAAACTTGTTCAAACCCATGTAAGAGTTAAATGGAAAGAATATAGGAAGACTTTGAAGACACAAGACCAATTTAGGGAGTCTGCAATAGTTAGCGACAGCACATCATCGCTAGAACATTAATAACATGTCTAATGTGGTGGGAAGTATGGAAGCTGTTGAATAAACTGAGTTCCCTCTTGCCTACAGTAGCTAGAAGCTGTCATAAAAACTGAATTGGAAAGTATTTTATTATTATTATTACCTGGTCTAGTTAATAATATTCCCCAAAGACTACTTAGAATTTCTGCTGTTCATTAAGAAGATTAATTAGGATCAAAAAGAGTACCTATAAAAAATATATCACAGGGACTTCAGTGTTCCTAATAGAATGCATGCAGGATTTCCATTATATGTCCTCTATAAGCTGTTAGGCAAAACGTATTTATATCTAATAAACTTCCAGTAAATTCACAGTGTTATTGGAAGAAACTTCCAAATCACAGTGTCATTGCAAGAAACTTCCTAAAAACTTTTTTTGAAATTTAAGGAAACCTTTGGTAAAAAGTTAAAAAAGGGAAAAAACTGCAAAGCCAACAGGAAAATAAAAAGGTTCTTCCTTTGGTTGCAAAGTTTTTTTATTACAGAATTTAAAAAATGAAAAGGGACTACCACCATGACAATAAGATCCCGTTTGTCTGTAAATGCTTTTATCAGGAGTTCATTGAATGGGAGCAGCCATTGTGATCAATGTGTGACTTTGTTGTTTTAGTAAAGAACTAATCTACTGTTTGGAAAAACTGAGGTGGATGAAAATAATCACAAAGAATATGTCCAACTTTATTTTCACATTCACACATATGCTTCCATAATGTGAACTGTTTCACACTGGGGGGGAAAGAAAAAGCTTATGGACAAACAATGATGGCAGTTGCTTTAAGAAAAAAATCCTTAATATATTTTGCAGACATTCTGGTAACTATGCTAAAAAAAGAAAAAAAGAAAGCACGAGATGCTCTTTCCCAGCTTAATGCCACCTCTGCTGGTTCTACGGCCTTGGAGCAGTCTCCTATGAGCTTGGAAGAAAGTCAGAGTCCATCTAAGTGTTTTAGTCTGAAAGAGGCAAAAGTTTTGAGCTCTTCCATTTCCAGACTACCTTTTCTTTCCAGAGCAACAGGTTAGTGTAATTAATTATGTGAACAGTCATTGGATCATTCCAATATGATTTACAGTATATCCTTCAAATGTGAACAAAACAAGGAAGCTTTATTTTCATTACCAGTAATATTGTGCTAATTCTATATCTACAAATGCAGGGTTTTAAATTTAAAGGCTTCTAAGGTGCTGATGGCTTTTACAAACTTCTGTAAATACTCTGTTGAACAACCCTATGGAACCATAGTATAAATTCAGTTGCAGGCCCTTGTTTCTTTCAGTAACTTCACAGAAAAAAATGGGTGAATGATCATAATTCATTATGAAATATAAGGAAATAATATTTTTCCCCTGGAAGATCCATTTCAATTTATCCATATAAGTGATATTACAGGATTTAAGTTCATGTTTAAATCATTGTAGAAACAACTCAAACAATTGAAATAATATTGACCAGTTAGCATGGATTGCATAAGTAGGGCAGTTTTTATAGTGGTTATTTGAAAAGGATTAAGTGTGGAGCATTGCACTTTTCTTTCCTTGCATCATTTGAGCTGGCTATTTGTGAAAATAGGTAACAATATTCTTGCAAGTTGTTAATTTCAAAATCCACATTAAAAAAATCTTCTAATAAATGTAGATAGATTTTTCTTGCATGGTTTCATGTTTTCTTCATTTTCTAGTTTAATTGTTCAAATAAAAAGATTTTTTTTGGTGTCAACAGGTTCTAGAAGTGCTTATGGTTTTGTTAGTAAAGAACATAGCTCATCCTAGATTATTACATATGACTATTACATATTCATGATTTATATTATTGTATACTTTTTATGCATTTGGGGGGTGGCTTGCTGAAAGAAAAGAGTTTTCAACATGAAACTCAGACACGGCAGCTGGCAAGTAGAAACTTATATTTTGGTAGAGTACTAGTGGGAATGGAGTTCTTAAATTATGTAAGGTTGTCAATTGTCTTCTAAAATTACATTGCAATTGAACTAGTTTTCGCACTTGTAGTTTTGTTTTGGTTGCTCAGCTACTGAGGAATTCCCTTTGCCTTCTACTTTTCCTATTTACCACCCTTCTCATTTTATCGGAAGAATTTATTTCGTTTGGTGTCACAATAGTATAAAGTAAATATAATTATGTCCTTATAACAGAAATCTCTTCAATACCTCAGAAACATGCCAGCAAATAATAGCTATATTTTATCAACAAATTGCTAGTATAATTGCATCTTTTATACAGTGGCATTTATTCTTCAGTCTTTAAAAAAAACCCTCATAAGCATCAGCAAATTCTTAATATTGATAAATTTTTATAAACATAGTGTAGGTATGTTCTATAAGTTTTCTTTGAATGTAAAGTAGGAAGTTTGAGAATGTCAGTTCAAATTGACTGGCTGTAGAACCTTATCACCTGCACTCTGTGCTGGCCAGGCTGGATGGGGCCCTGAGCAGCTTGATCAAGTGGAAGATGTCCCTGCTCTTGGCTGGGAGGTTTGAACTTGATCATCTTCAAGGTCCCTTGCAATCCAAGCTATTTTGTGGTCCTTTGCTAAGTTTGGATGAGGCGTCGTTCTATCTCAAGCACAGAGCCTCATTTTTCATCTATTGAAAGCCTGAATGATGTGCATCACTGTAAAATTGTCTATCCATTTCAAAATCCATCTGAACTATCTATCTATCTATCTATCTATCTATCTATCTATCTATCTATCTAATCTATCTATCTATCTATCTATCTATATATCCATATATCTATCTATGCTATTTTGTCTATAGGCTTTAAGAATTCACTAAAGATTGTGAAAGGTCTTGGGCCTGAGCCAGAGTCAAACTCCCAGGTAGAAGCTTTCATGTAGTATTAAAGCTATTCTTCATCATTTAAACCCTTTGCATCCTTTACATTGTTTATGAAGATTTCAATTTACAGCATGAAGGCTATATGGTATGCTAACTATTTGAACAATTAACTTTTCTTTTTATTTAATTCTGTACTCTCAAAACTGCTATCAGCCTGATTTATTGCAATATAACATTTCTAGTATTTCTAGTGTCTCTAACGTGTTTTCCATTTTCCTATCTCATTTCCTTATCCTGAAAATTAAATTAGGAAATCAAAAGAAAGGATAGGAAAAAATAGTTAGTTTAACAAAATAATTGTTGGAATGCCTATCTAATAATTTGTTAAAAATATTTAAAGCCATTCATTTATTTTGCAGTTGATTTATTGGTTAGCTTTACATTTGCTTGCCCAAAAGCAGATCTTTACCATTCTGTGATAGAATAACATTCTTACCATTTTTTCCTATATGATCTAGGACCATATCTACATTGAAAGATACGTGTATCCAGGTTTCTCGTTTATCCTATCCAGACATTTCTCGAAGTAGGAGAAAGGCAGTAATACTATTTCACTGCTGAGCTTGATGTAATAATCTGTGATAACAGGAAATTTATCTTGATCTCATCACAGCAGTAAAACAATTTCTGGTCCAAATTTGTCCCTCAGCAGGCTGACTTTGAAGGTAAATGAGTAGTGACTCCTACAATGGTTAATGTTTTACAGGTACAGCTGTAATTTATCTCATTTTAAGTCAATCCTGCATTGAATGTGCATGGTCTTTTCAGAAGAAACTGAGTGAATATAAAAAATCTTCAAAGGTTTGACATATGGTATTATTTACCTTCCTGTACACTCTGCCTTTTCCCCACCATGTGTATTCCTGAAACTCTAAAGAGAAGCCTTTAATGGCAGTACAGATTCCAGGATTAACAAAACCTAACACCCAA